GCTTGTTACACTAGTTAGCATTACCCTACCTAACTCAGAAAGAAGTACTAGGTTTAAAAATAGAAAGACTCAACATCCTAAAGATATCGGTAGTCCCCAAAATGATCTACAGATCTGATACATTTCCAGTGGACTTCCAGCAGTGCCCTCCATGAAGCTTGGCAAGCTGATTCTAAAGTTTATATAAACTCACCAAGGGCCAAGAATGGCCAAGACATTTCTGAAGGCAAGCAACAGGAACTCGTATACACTGCTGCTGGTGAAAGGGGTGCTAACATAGTACAACGCCTATGGAAAATAATTTGACTATTATAATAAAGTTGAAGATAGCACATCTTTGACACAGCAATTCTACCCTCTTAGACATGTTCACTAGGTGACATGAAAAATGATGTTAACAGAAGCATTTTTGTGACAGGACACAATTAGGTAATAGACAAATGTCTATCAACAGCATAATGGACAAAAAAAATCATGGCATGTTAATTCAGTGGTGTGTGACACAGCAACGAAAATAAATATACTACAATATGGATTAAATATGATTTTAAGTGAGAAAGGCAGTTAGCCCAAGAATAGATATGATTTATCTAAACTTTTTAAAAATGAGAACTGTACATCATTCAATGATATTAGATATGTGATAAAATTAAAAATGAATGCAAGCCAGTGATAAACACAGAAGTTAGGGTGATGGTGACCTCTTGGCAATGGGCAGGAGGACTCTTTGGGAGGAGCATGTAGGGCTTCTGTATTGGTTCTAGTCTATTAAACTGGTGTCGGGTTAGGCGTGTTTTTATTCTCATCCTTTATGACGTAGCTATATGTCACAGTATTTATATGTATCAAGTATTCATAATTTGAAAAATAAGAGTAATCATTGGCTCCAACCATAGTCTTTTTGCCAGACCATTAATAGCTGTACTTATTAAGTGACAGTTAAGATTTTCCCGCCAGTGTGCTTGACGTATGTTGCTTCTTTTTCCTTAAAAATATTCTGCTTCCTCATCAGTTTACCTATAATGGGAAGATTCTCTTTGGAACCTGGTTCACGTCTTACCCCAAGTATCTGGGACCATCCTAGACTTTAATTTTCTCGTCTTTAACATTGAAATAGTAGTGCCTAGCTTACAAAGTTGTCGTGCAGATTATATATATCTTATTGAAACTGATGTTAATGGTTATCTCTTCATGCAGATTTTTTCACCAAGCATGCTGCACATCTGCTACAAAACGATAGGATATAATGCCTCTCCTCAAGGAGCTAGATTTATTCACACACAACTAGACGATGCTGCCGTGAGGGATGTAATTGTGGAACATAAACAGTATGAAAGAACCTCATAGGAGAAAGGATTTGTGTCTCTAAACTCAAGGAAGGCTTGAAAGAGGTTGTGGCATATGAGATGAGCCTCCAATGATTTTTTCAGTTTGATCTCGTGGATGCAAAGCTCCCCTTCATCTTGCCCACTTTCTACTAAACACTAAGTGTTTCAAGTGAGTCACCACACCCCCGTAAACAATGAGTGTTGCTGTGAAAAACTCATCCATCCCATAGCTTAGCCTCCCTCACTCTCACTTCCATCCAAGTGTTGCCCGTTTTAGTGGAGGGATGTTAGTATCACAAGGACGTGAAATCGTCTTTGGTTGTTGGTGGACAGATAAACAGATTCCATTTTACCCTCGTCTAGACTTGGGCAAAGTAAGTGCCCTAAAAATGCCACATGAATATTTTTTCGGAATGTTATGTCTCCATGAATCATCTGGCTTAATGAGACTGGTCATTTTATGTCCATTTTTTATGTGACCAAGACAACCAATATCTGACGAATTTACTGAACTAGAGAGAAACTTCTGGGAAAAGCTAACCCTTCCTGGACACCAGCTCCAGCAAGCCACAGTGCTAATTTTTCTATTTCTGAATGATGCAATCATCGCTGCAAATTTAGGAGCATTTTAAAACCTTATAGTTTATTAAAATCTTTGGAGACTTAATGTTTTTAAGCTTTCAGCATTATGTAAGCTATCTTTAATACTGAGAATTTAATAGAAACAAGGGAAAACCTGTATGCAGCTTCTCCAGAGATTCTTCTTGAAAGCTCAGTTCTGCTAGTAGAATTTTTTAAAAGAGGGGAGGAGGTCTACTTTCTTGTCTTCTAGATTCTTGTCTTCTAGATTTCTTGTCTTCTAGATCATTCTAGCAATGATCCCTTTAAAACGTTAGTTAAGCCATGCCTCCCCCTTCTTTTAATCCTCCGGTGGCCTCTTAGAAAAAAAAAATCTGAAGTTCTTTCTGTGGCTTACCAGACCACTACATAAACTGCCCTCACTTCCTACCTCTCTTCCCCTCACACACTGTGGCCCAGCCACACTGGTCTTCTTGCCCATCCTTGAACTTGCCATGCATGTTCGCAAAGGCTAGCCTTTGGGCTAGCCTGGCAGCCACTGGTAGGATCGCTGTTGCTCAGATATTTACAGAGCTCTCTTTCTTATTTCACTTAGATTTCTGCTCAAATCTGCTCAAATGCTACCTCCTCAGAGGGGCTTTTCCTGATCACTCTATTTAAAGTACAATTCTTGCTGATCTCTGTACCAAACTCTGCCGTATGTTTTTTCATAGCATATGTCACTATCTGGCATTATTATTTATGATATTGTGGTTTTATGCTTGTTCTCCTCATTCTCTTGAATGTAAGCTTCAAGAGGAGGGGGACTTGTCTGTATCCTGGTGCTTGGTACATAGTGGTATTCAATAAATATTCATTGAATGAATAAAAGAAAGAACTTACATTTCTGTTGCCTAGAAGAGATAGGGTTAAAAAAAGACTGAGGCTTTGAGGTGATATCCATGGTGGTACAACACAGAAGTAGTGTGAGTTTTTATAGAAAATACACAGAACTTGACATCGGAAGATCTGAGGCCTTCTAGATTAGGCGTATGACTTTGGATAGGTCCAAGTGTCAGCCTCCTCTGACCAAAAGGATTAGACTAAAGTTCAGAAGATCAAAGGAGTTAAAGAAAGTAGTAAGTTTTCATAAATCCTAAAATCTTAATATAATTATTACCATCTGTTTGGGACAATATGCAAATATTATAAAAGCAAAACCAGCTATTCAAATTAAACCTTACCACTTTCAGAGCTAGAAATCTCTCCTAAACATCTAATGAACTTCCAGTCATCTTTAAAAGGAAACTTAAATGCAATGAAAAGAATGAGTTGAAAGGCTGTTATAAGATAACAAAATATAATGTTTCCATATATACATGCATAGAAATGCAATTATGAGCATTGCTTTCTTGTCTCTTAAATTTCAGTGTTTATAAAATTAGCTAGGATTTTCATATTGGTTCTTTCTCTAAGGAGTAAGTAGATATGCTATTCTCAGATGGTTACAAATTTTAATTTCGTTGTATCCCCAGCCATCTCTTAGATATAATCTTTGTGAGTCATTCTGTGTGGATAAAAGAAAACAGTAAAAGCCTGCTTCAAATTAGATTGTTTAAATTTCCTTTTTCTAATAAGGAAATCCTTGCTGTTGTGATAAATACTAAAATGCTTTAGTAAGAAGATAAATTTCTAAGAGATTTATTTAAAGTAAAACAAAGATTTTAAGTATTAATATTTGAATAAATAAGTGAGAGCTGAATTTTATAGTTTGCCAACTCATGCTTCTTTAGGTAAGGGTGTATTTTGATACGTTAACCTTATTTATTTAGCTTTTTAGCCAAGATGGTTGCTGTTTTATTGAGACACTCCATGCATAATGCAGCCATTAAAATGTGCATGTTGAAGCCCAGGTATAATGTGTGTGTCTGTTTACTTGAAGGAGGTAGAGGGCGATTTTATTGAAACAATGTCTGTATGTATTGGAGATGAAAAGTGCTAAACAACCCCTGTGGAAGAAAACCAGCTGTTTGGTTTGCAGTGCACGATTTCGGTCGTCTACACTGCCTCGATTCGATGAGCGAGTCTTCCGTTGCTCCAGCCTTCTTTCCGCTCTCTATTTTGTGCACAGAGTTCACTGAATAGAGTCTCAGAAAAGGGGAGGGGCCTATTCTGAAAAGAAAGATGAGGGTAGCGCCAATTCATTACCCTGGGAGAGTTCCCAATCACCAGTCAAGGCAGACCTCAGATGTCACCTCCTAATGACATCTTCCTCAACCATCTTCTCCCTAATGTTCCAGAAGGACATGTTTTTAGGCCCTTTGAGTTTACACTTTGCATAATCTTCTACTATATCCTGTATCACATGATACAGTGTTAATCATGTACGTGTAAGTATTCCCAACACTCTGAGCTTTTCCAGTCAACTTGGTATCTGTGAGCCTAGCACAGAGCCTGGCCTATATTAGGTGCTGACTGTATCTTTTCAGAATAAATAAGTTACTGCAGGTGCTATCCACCACCCGCCTCCCTAAGAAGGACTGAAAGTGCACAGAGTCCAGCCAAAGTTGGGAAGGAATGATCCTGGCTTTTTCTGTGGACTGCCAAAATTTAGAGGGTACAAACATTATGCATATGGTTTTTAAAGACTGTCTAGTATTTTAAGCACCCTTTCTCAACAATAGTCCCTTTCCCAAACTCAATTCTGCCACTGTTTTTCCTTTTAGGATGGAGCTTGAAGTGCACAAGGGTTGATCACTTCCCCCTTCTCCCCTCTTCCCAATGAATCCCACCATTGATTTGAAAATTATTTTTCTGCTTGCCCTGAGCTTCACATTTGGTATTTGGTTCTCCCCTTGCTAAACTATTCCTCTTGTCCTTAAGGGTCCTGGGTGTAGACGTGTGTGCATATGACTTTCTCCAATGTAACTAGATTTACACCTGGCCCTGCAAAAGAATAGATGAGAGGGTCCGTGATGTGTGTGTGTGTGTGTGTGTGTATACTGTGAAGGGAAGGGTGGAGGTGTAGAAAGAAGATTGGAGAAGTTAGAGAGAGACTTAAAGACGAACGTGAGTTTTATGGTCTCTGAAAATTTCCTTGACATTCTTTTCCAGGTTGACTTTGGATTTGCTAAGAAAATAGGATCTGGACAGAAAACATGGACGTTCTGTGGAACTCCAGAGTATGTAGCTCCTGAAGTCATTCTTAACAAAGGACATGACTTCAGTGTGGACTTTTGGTCCCTGGGAATTCTAGTGTATGAGCTCCTAACGGGCAAGTAAGTACCTTCAAGCTGTGTTCAGCCTCTTCTTCAGAGAAGTGCAAAAATAACTTCCTAATGATAAAAAATATATAACTTAAGAGTTTAAAATTTTGGAAATGTTTTTGATTAAGTATGATGCCTTTTCCTTTTTACATTATTTCACATAGCATGCTTGCTAGTTTATAACAGGAGAAAAGATTCAGGAAGGTGTTGGAAAGGACAGAATAGCTGTGGTTTACCTAAAATGGCAAGGCCTGTTATTGCAGATAGCATATTAAGTGTGTGAATATTTTGGTAATCCATCATAAGAAAAAGAAAAGGAATTGAAGTTGTGGGCTATTATTTCCTCCTGTATGTATTTTTTGTAATTGAGAAAATAGCAATCATTAAATCCATTGATCAATTAAACTAAATTTAGTCATGTTCTTCCATCTCCTCAATAAATCATTGACCAGAAAAGCTAAAAGAGGACCAGCCTGGTGGCATAATGGTTAAGTTCACTTGCTCCACTTCAGCGGCCTGGGGTTCATGGGTTCGGATCCTGGGTGTGGACCTACACACCATTCATCAAGCCATGCTTTGGTGGCACCTCACATACAAAATAGAGAAAAATTGGCACAGATGTTAGCTCAGCGACAGTCTTCCTCAAGCAAAAAGAGGAAAATTGGCAACAAATGTTAGCTCAGGGCCAATCTTCCTCACCAAAAAAAAAGAGAGAGAGAGAAAGAAATGCTAAGAGAAAGCAACATTGCTGGATTTAAATTTTAATCCCCTTGTCAACTGCTTTCTAAAGGTGCTAATGAACAGAGACAAGACACAACAGGAGTTTTAGCAGTGGAACTGTCATTCCTGAAGAGATTAAAGGGCTGTATTCATGAATTCAAGATCCCAAATATTCGACACCAGTACACACATGCACAGACACACATATCCACATGTGCACACACATTTGTAGGCTGTATATAACATTACCTCACATTTGTAAAGCTCTTTAGAGTTTACAAAGCACGTACATGTGTATTATCTAGTTTAGAATTTACAAACGTGTGAAAGTTAAAGCAGGAATTTGTATTATTATTTTATGATTTAAATTTTATAGATTAGAAGATTAGAAAACCAGGTCCTAGAGCTATCTGCCTAAGATCAGAAATTTGATCCCAGGTGTTCTGACTCTAAATGTGACACACTTTCCATTTTACACAAGTGCCCTGGATATATATGTTTTTAATAAAATGCATGGACACACACACAGGATTCAGATCAGTTTTCCTTCCAATTTTCTACCTCCATTTCTCACTAACCGATAAACCTTTATAACCAAATATTCTCACTCTTAATTTAAGGGAGGATTTGCATATGGAATGGCCTAAGAAATACTGGAATGAACCCATTGATGGGGTTCAAGTCTCAACACATACTTTACAAGAAGAGAGTTTCATAGAACTTCTTGAATTTTTTACACTACTAATTTCAGTGTTAGGTTACCTGTGGCAACATTTTACTTCCTTGTCCACATACATGGAGCAAGCAGATATGAAAGATTATTTTATATTATCTGTAATCATTTTCAAATATTCATTGCTTAAGATTTTAAGTAAAGAAGAGAAAAATTTCCAGACCGTCATTCAGAGAGAAATGCTTAAGGTCTTGAGACACACGAATTCTAGTTTGAGAATTTGTTTCCTCTTCCCTGAGAAGTTTGTCAGCTGCCTTTCTAAGAGATGCCTGGTGGTTCCTGTGGGTAACTGGGGAATGTATGTCTCAGTCTTCATCAGCTGGAATCAGTTGTTTCAAAGAGTAGGGAAATAAAGTGAGGGAATAAGGAAGAGGGGGAAAAAACCCAATAACTTGGAGTTGCTAAGGTGACCTTGAGCTGTCGGAGAGGGTAAGAAATTGTGTTTGTAAAGGTTTTCAGGGTAGAGCATGAGAAAAGTAAATTTTAAATGATGAGAGTCAGTAGTAAATGAGAAAAGAACTTAAAAAACCCAAAACACAACATGGTTGTAAATATATAAATTTATATAAATATAAATTTGAAAATATAGCAGTGGTTTTTGTTTCCTGCCTCATTTTCTTTACAAGTGAAACCTACATTATTGAGAAGTTGGTGTACTGACCTTGTTTCAAGTTTATTACCAAGAGTGAGAACTCTCAGAATCAAAAGGTCTCGTCTGAAGCATGACCAAGATACAGCAGAGTAATTCATGAAAGTCTTCTTTAATTTTCAAAAATTAAATGAAACAGGGGGCCTGCCCCCTGGCCGAGTGGTTAAGTTCGCGCGCTCCGCTGCAGGCGGTCCAGTGTTTCGGTGGTTCGAATCCTGGGCGGGGACATGGCACTGCTCATCAAACCACGCTGAGGCGGCATCCCACATGCCACAACTAGAAGGACCCACAACGAAGAATATACAACTATGTACCAGGGGGCTTTGGAGAGAAAAAGGAAAAAAATGAAATCTTTAAAAAAAAAATTAAATGAAACAATAGAATAGATTATTAAAAGGTTTTAAAAGCAAAGTGTTCACATTAAAATGTATTCCAAATGCAATGGTCAATTCCCAATGCTTTCTTACTTTCCCGCTCATCTTAGCAACACTTTCCATGACATACTCTCTTCACATGGCTTCTAGGACCTCTCTGTTTCTCAGTCCTTTTCCCACACTGGTGGCCCCTTCTCAGTCTCCATTGTTGGATCTTTCTCATTGTCCCTACCTCTCAGCATTAGGCCACTTCAGTCCTTGACCTCTTTTTCTATCTACTCACTCCTTGGATGATATCCTCGAGTCCCATGGCCATAGTACTGTCTGATGATTCCCCAGAATCATACCTCCGTCCCTAACCTCTTCCCTGAATGACGGACTCATAAATTCAACTGTCTGCTTAGCATCTCTCTTTGGATGTTCAAAACATAACTCTCGAGTCTCTTCTTCATAACCTGCTCTGCACCCCTGCACTTCCACCCCCACTCCCACCCCAGTCTTTCTTCTCTTAGTAAATGATAGCCTCATTCTATAGGTCAAAACACTTTAGCATCATTTTTGAATCCTTTCTTTCTCCCACACACCCCATTAACAAATCCTGTTGGCTTTACCGTCTAAACAGATCTGAAATCCAGCCACATCTCACCACCTTCCCCACTAGTCCAGGACACCAGGCCTTCCTTCCCTGATCACTAGCACCATCACAGTTTATCCACACATTTAAAGAAAGCTTACTCTGCCTGCTGTAAATTAGATCATCGGACTCATAACATATTCCCAGGTCCTTACCATAGCCCACTAGATTATATGATGTTGCCCTTATCTCTGATACCCCTCTCCTGCCTACTCACTCCAGAAACACTGTCCTTCTCAGTGTTCCAGAAACAGCCTATGCCTACTCCTGACTCATGGTCTTTGTACTTGCTGTCGTGGAATCCTTTGCCTATAGAAAACCATGTGGCTCATTTACTCTGTCTCTTCATTCATACCTCTGCTCAATTGTCAACTTATGAGAGAGGCTTTTCCTGTCCACCGTGTCGAAAAAAATCACACCTCTCTGTCACTCTCTGTCTCCTCCTTTATTTTTCTTTTTAGTGATTATCACCACTTGACCAATTATCTGTATGTGTATGTGTGTGTGTAGTTTTGTTAAGTGATGTGAAATTCATGAAATTATTTTCTAGCATATATCTAGATTTGTTATAAAACAACTAACGGGGGGATGGGAAGAAAAAGGGAGAGAAAACAAGGAGAAACTTTGTTGTAAATGTGTCTCAGGCACTGGTCCCAATGTCCTATTTTGGCTTTTCTCTAGCCCGCCCTTTTCTGGGATTGACCAAATGATGACCTACAATTTGATTCTCAAAGGAATTGAGAAAATGGATTTTCCCAGAAAAATAACAAGACGACCTGAAGATTTGATTCGGAGGCTTTGCAGGTGAGAATGACAATTAAAAATTCCTTGTTCTTGGGGAAAGTGTGAAGGCTTCTAATTTCTGTTTCCACACATTTTTAAATTAGATGTATGTTTACTTTTGGTACTGTCCCACGTAGTTAAATTATATTTAAAGAAAGTCATTTGCTGTTTTGCATCTGTGCTGGGAATTTGAGTTTACTTCATGTTATCGAATCACAGTACTTACTTCTAGTTTAGAAGAGATCCAAATTTTTCAGGTTATCTTTAGGGAGCATCTTTATCTGTCACAGAGCAAAATAGAACCCCAAACCTTAATTTAATAAAGGAGTAATTAATTTACAACCTTATTTTGAGAGAAAAATCAGTGATGATGAAAAAGTGTTACTATATATATGCCCTCTTTCAATCTTCCTTTTTAAAAAAAAGTACCCCTCTGGCTTTGTTCTCAACACTCTCAGTTTCTACTTACATTAAAAATAATTCATTGGAGAACAGAAGACTTCTAGAATTTTTGTTTAAATTTCACTTTATCATTTTTTTTTGCATATTTGAACTTTTTTTAAAGCATTAAAATTTAATAAATTTAGAACGTGACACCTAGCTTTGAGTTGCCACAGAAATTTCTGCATGCTTCTAAGACTCCAGCTCAGATGTCAATGATTTTCTAAAGCTTTCCTGGGTTTTCTCAGCAGAGTTGTTAAGATAGCACCCTCTTGTTGTTTTAAGCATTTATTCAGAGATCTGGGATATATCTCTCTCTCTGATTTGACTGTGGCTCCCCCAGAGAGGGGCATGTGTTTTTCATCTCCCTATACTCGGATGCCTGCTCTATAAATATTGTTAAGTAAATGAATGAACAAATAAAGAAAAAATGTTAAATTTTAATTCAAAGCATAATTATTATAAATTGCCTTTTAAAAAAATTTTATTTTAGGCAAAATCCAACAGAAAGACTGGGAAATCTGAAGAATGGAATCAATGACATTAAGAGACACAGGTACGTAGTTCCCTGCCCAGAAAATATAGCAATTTTTAGAAAAACGTGGTAATCTTGATGGTTCCCTCAGTAGGCCACAAGGGTCCCTTTACAGATGCTCAATTTTTCCTTTTTGGTGTTTTATTTTTAATTTGTGTTTTACTAGATGTAGGTACAATAATCAACCTCAAAGTGATTTCTCTAATGCTGGAAATTCATATCAAGAATAGATGAAGATATAAAACAAGTTACAAAATCACATCTTCAAGTTATAGCAACATAGCTTTTTATCCACTGCTATGCTTATTATTTTTTTTCATATCAACTTGGATTCTATAGAGGAATTAAGTTCCAATTTTGACATTTGGCTTCTAATTAAAGTAGGATACAGACATTGTTGTCAATATTCAAGAGGATGGGTCAGCTAAATCAACTGTTTGTTTTTTTTAAAGATTGGCCAGTTTCCAATCTTATTTTTTTGTTTTTCTGCTCTTTCTCCCCAAATCCCCCCAGTACGTAGTTGTATATAGTTTTTAGTTGTGGGTCCTTCTAGTTGTGGCATGTGGGACGCTGCGTCAGCATGGCCTAATGAGAGTTGCCATATCCGCGCCCAGGATCTGAAACAGCAAAACCCTGGGCCACCGAAGTGGAGCGCACGAACTTAACCACTCAGCCACGGGCTGGCCCTAAATCAACTGTTAAATAGTATTCTATCCCAGTTTTTTCTGGTTTGTTTTTGAGTTTTTTTGTGAGAAAGATTCGTCCTGAGCTAGCATCCATTGCCAATTCTCCTCTGTTTTTGCTTGAGGAAGGTTAGCCCTGAGCTAAAATCTGTGCCAATTTTTCCTCTACTTTGCATGTGGGACACCACCACAGCAGGGGTGATGAGTGGAGCAGGTCCACAACTGGGATCCGAACCCGTGAACCCAGGTTGCCAAAGCGGAGCATGTGAAACTTTAATGACTCTGCCACGAGGCAGGCCCCCTCTACTCCACTTTTAATTAATATTATATCTTTCTTTTAAATACAATTTTCCTTTGACTAGCTCTCCAAATTTTGAAACCTCATGTTGTATTTTACTTTTTGTGTAAAGTACATTGATTTGCACAAAACCTCAAACAATCTTTTATCCTTACATGGTAATCTAACATGTACATTTTCAGTTCTGTGAATTTCCAAAGCTGGCCTTCAGAACCACTGATAAGTTCCATAAGATATCCTCTCTGACTTGGTGACATATGTGGAAGTTCAAGCCTTCAAGATTTTTTTTTAAATCTATGCCTAGCTAAATCCTGCAATCCTCAAGATGTTTTGATTTTGCTTATGATTCACAAATATGAAATCTTACCTATTGATAGTACCATTGATAATACAAAAAAATAAATTTGAGAATTTCATTATTGAAAACCTTCGAACACACTGATGTTTACTTTCAGACATGAAAACACTTCTCTATACTTCATTCCTTTCTGGATATTTTTACTGAAGAATTAGGGGCACATCAACACAGTGTGAAAATAAAGGGAGAGATGCTGCTCAATAGAAACGCTATTCATTTTTCTTAACAGTAGCAGTGCAGCTTCAAAAGAAGAATCCCCAAGCTGCCAACCCTGCTCTATCTATTCATGAACTTACTTGAAATAAAGCCATGTATTCAGCATTGTAAATTCATATGGGCTCTGCCTTGGGGTGTATTAGGAAGGGAGGGAGTCATAGAGACAGACAGACACATCTGTCGATTTTATAGACATCAAAATGCTTATTGTTTTGTTCTGTGTCGTCCTTTGAATTGCCTTCAGTGTAAAGCTCATTATTTGTCTTAGATTCCAATTTATCTTTCTTCCTACGTGCTGTTATCACAATTTCTTTTCTCATTATAAAATGACACATAAACATACCCATTCATATTGAACAAACAAGTGTCCTGTCAATTAAAGTCATTCTTCCAATATGTTTTCCTCCTTTCCCTCATTAAAGAAGCATCTTCATGTTTTGCTCTGAGGTAGTTGGGAAATTGAAGTGATGCCATTGTTAACAGGCTCCAGTTTTATCTTTTACTTCTCATTTACCTGAGGCTCATTTAAATGGAGCTGTCAAAGTGCAGTTGGATGCTCATGCAAATTAATACTAAAGGATTTTCTCACCTCGGCCTGGTAACGAAGAATTTTGAGTTTCCATCCCTGTAGGAATTAACTCACCCACTCTTCTTAGAAGGCAGGGTGTTCTTTGCCGAGTAACTGCGGAGTCGGAGTGCAGTGTGTAGGGTAGAGTCCGCTAATAAGCGGTAGCAGATTTACACAGTGCCTTCCCGGGAGCCCTGGAAGCTTAAAAACATTATTCACCCTATTTTCGTAGTGCTTTTTAAGATATAAAGCTTGGGCAGAAGTGCCTGAAAGGTAGATATCTCTCTGCCTTCAAATAGGAATGTTCTAAAACCCTCCACAAGTCTCCAAGGTATATAGCTTCTCTACCCAGTATATTCTTGGAATTAAAAAAACAATTCTTTCTAAAATTTGCCATCAGATTTTCCCACTCTTCCCTAAAGTAAAACTGTGATTTTTTTTTTTTTTTAGAGGACTGTTCATTTTAACTTTGTATGTAAAAACAATACAGTGAAACATGGCATATTGTTATATGTGTATCCAGTCTGTGTTGAATCATCTTTCCTAAAAATAGAGTTCTTCCCTCCCCTATTTATGAGCTAACTTACAAACCAGGCAGCAGTCATATCTCCCAACTCCTGTCTGAAAAGAGGTATAATATATTTGTAGGGAACAATTAAATCTTTCCTGCTAGGTAGAGGAGCAATTTGTTTCAAGTGTCTTAATGTTACCTTTAATATTTCTAGTCCCTAAAATTACTTTCAAGAATAGCTTCTACAAGTCTTCTAAAAATGAAGAAGCAATTTATGTGCTGTTGCTGCTAATAATTCTTTGGTGAATATTTTTCACACACGAGTGCATGCTGGCACTTGCATTACTTAAAATGTGGTTAATGTCAAAAGGCCAAGTGTTAAGTGAATAGCCACTCATGTTGAGTAAATATTGCCGTAAGTCAAATTGTAACAAGTACTCAGCAAGAAATGCATAGGCTCTTTGATTCAGTAGAGTAACAGTAATGATTTTTATTAATATTTATAGAGTAGCTTCTGGATAGAGAGCATTATAAAATATGTTAAAAGGAATTGTGGCAGTATTTGGTGGCCAAAGAAAAGAATCCACAGAACTGTGTACCTAGAAATCCCTAAAAATGGAGCTTCAGTCATGCAAAGAAGCTGATGGGTGGGTCAAGAAGAGGACTCCTGTGGTTTCGTAGCTAGGACAGGGGAAGCCGTACAGCTGAGGTTGCTGTCTGACTCTCACTCTTTGATTTAGAGTCTCGGCAGCTTATCCCAAAATGGCACTCTGGGTTAAGAATGACGTCTGAAATGGAATGTACCAGAGCCTGCCCTCTCTGTTTTCAGTACTGTCTCGCTTGCTAAGTTTAGACTTGGAGTGGGAAACCCAGTCAAGGACTGAACCAAAACGAACTCCAGGGGTGGGAGGGATTGAGAAGGGTGGAAGAGCGTCGCTTCTGGTATGGCTGATGGGCAGAGGAATGTGACAGCCCCCTAAAAGTCTCCCAGTCTTCAGTCTCACACCTCCCACCACCATCCTGCCCGATCACAGACCATTGTGGTCATTCTCCACATATCAGCCAGAATTATCTTTGGAAAACATATCTAGACTGCATCATTTCCTTAGAACTTTCTCATTGCTTCCCATTTCGCGTAAAATCCTGATTCCTTACTGTGTCCTACAATGTCCTACATGATCTGGTCTCTGGACATTTCTCAGACACTTTTTTTTTCCCCTAGTTTTCCCTGCATTCACCAAACTTCAGCTCATTCCCATCACTTCCTTCCATTTGGAAATCACTTGCCACAGATCTTCCCATGGCTTCCCCCTTCTCTTCATTCTGGCCTTAATTCAGATATCACTTCTTCAAAGACCACCCCAGCTAAAAGCAGCCTCTCCTAACCCATCCCCATCCCAGTCGTCATCTACCACTTTATTCTCTTTTATCTTCCTAGTACTTACTAGTATCTGAAATTTGTTTAAGTATTTCTATTGTTTACTTGTTTTTGTTTCTTACCTTCCACCAAAATAAAAACATCGTAGGAGCAGAGTCTTTATTTCATTGATGCCTGGGCCCAAATTGACTTTGTACAAATTTTTGTTGCCTGGCTGACCTGACCTTGGTGACCTAATAGAAGAGATCAGTGGATACAGAACAATATTGTTCCATGTTACTTATAAGATCCTGAGAGACAGAGTACATTGTTTGTGTCTGAAAAAAGAAAGGCCTCCTTACTTTTGCTGTTATATTACTAGCCCACCAAGCTTGACATGTATCATAAAGACCAGATCAACCCTTTTAGATTAATGATACGGAAGCAATAAGTGAAAGAACTTTAGCTGGCCATCAGCTTAATCCCATATTTTCACAGATTGCTGTAGAATACTTTTTAAAACCCTTGGTACTTTTTAGATCCTTATCTCCACCATGGTAGTGTGACATTATAGACGTGAGAGTAAGAGGTCCTCTGTAAGCATGTTCTCTGGTGGAGTCATCCAGTTGTTCAACAGATGTTTATTGGACCCCTGTTCTGTGTCAAGTACTGCTCCAAGTGTTAGGGACACAGAAGGAGAGGAAGCAGATGAAAATCCCTGTCCTCAGGGAGCTTGCATTCTTGTGGGGAAGATGGAAAATAAACAAGACACTTAAATAAGTATACACTGGATAATTAGATAGCAATAGTCTTAAGGAGAAAAAATTAAGCAGGGAAAGAAGAGTGGAAGTATGGAGGGGGTGGTACAATGTTGATTGGATAACCAAAGAAGCCCTCATTAAGAAGAAGAGATTTGAGAAAAGACCTGAAGGTGATGAGAGAACAAACCCTGTGGAAATCCCGCGAAAGAACAATCCACCCAGAGGGCCAGAGTGCAAAGGTCTTGAAGTGGGAGCATCGTGGCTTGTTGGAGAAGTGGCGAGAAGATGACTAAGCAAGAGTGAGATTAAGAGCAAAGTAGGAGAGTGGTCAAGTGGGAGAAGTGTGGAGGGGGTAAGGATGGTTTTGTAAGGCCTTATGGGTTATATAGTAAAGAGTTTGCCTTTTACACTGAGTGAAATGGGAAGCATTGAATAGTTTTGTACAGAGGAGTGATGCGAGCTCACTCAGGTTTTAAATGATCACTCTTGCTCCTGGGTTGTTTTCCACGAAGAAGAGCAAGAGGACCCATTGGGAGGTTATTGTAATAATACAGGCAAGGAATAATTGTGGCTTGGCCCATGCAGGTGGAGTGAAGTTGTTGAGAATTTGTCAGATTCTGAATACAGATATATTTTGAAGGTGGTACTGACAGGATTTGCTTACTGAGGTAGGATGTGAGAGAAAGGATAACTCCAAGGTGTCTTTGGTTTGAGCAACTGGAAGAGTTGAGGCAAGTTTTTTGGGGAAAATTTGGAGCTCCACTGTGGACATGATACATACTACATGATACATGCGTGTTAGACATGCATGTTAGACATCCAGTAGGGAGACAAATAGCGGTTGTAGATATTAGCCTGTAAATCAATGGGGAGATCTTGGTTGGAAACAGAAACATGGGAGTAATCAGGATATAAATGCTTAAAGCCACAAGACTGAATGAGATTACCCAGGAAGTGAGAGTAGGTAAAAAAAGAAGATGTCAAAGGACTGAGCCCTGGAGGACACCAACTTCCTATGGAAAAAGCAGTGGAAAATGAGGGAAAGCAACCAAGAAGATAGGAAGAAAACTGGGACAATAGCATGTCCTCAAAGCCAAGTGAAGAAGGATTTCAGGAAGTGTGATTGATGAACTGTGGCAAATGCTATGTAGGTCAAATAAGATGAAACTGAGAATTGAGGCCATTCAATGGAGCAGAGAGGGTGAAACCTGATTATAGTGTGGTCAGGAGAAAATGAGTAGATAGAGTGCTTTAGATAACTCAAGGAGTTTTCCCCCAATGGAAAGAAAGGAGAGAAATGGAGTGAGAGTTGAGTGAGAGTTGGAAGGGAGCACAGCTCAATGGAGGATGTTTTGTGTTTGGAAGAAATAAAATGTCTCCCTGCTGATGGGAGTGATCCAGCAGGGAAGATGTTGAAGATTCAGGAGGAGGAGAATTGCAGGAGCATGACTTTGAATAGAGAAGGATATGTGGGATGGAGTACACAGGAGAGAAGCAGACCTTAGCTAGAAGCAAAGGCAGTTAGTTCATAGTACAGGAGAGAAGGGAACACACAGATGTAGGTGGGTAGGCAAGTACGCTGGTGCAAGGTTGTGGAAGTTCTCTTTTTTGCTTCAGTTCTCTCTGTGAAAAAGGAAGCCAGGTCATCATTTGGGAGTGAGGGTAGGGAGAGGTTCTGGAAGTTTGAGGAGAGAGGACAAAGTATGAATTAGGAGTCTAAGGGAGTGTGACAGTGAGTGGGACAGGGAAATCTAGACTGATTGCTGGGCAGCATTAAGGGCCCCTTGGAGTTCATGGGCATGACTTTAATGTGAGACCAGACGACCAGCACGGTTGAGTGTTTTTCTCCGACTACTTGCAGCTGCCCTGTTGCAGGCAGGGAGCAGGCAACAAAATGGATTGACAAATACTTGACTTGCAAATAGTTTATCAGACAAGTAATAGTCCTCTGTACTTTTCTCATTTCTCAGGTGGTTGAATGGTTTCAATTGGGAGGGACTGAAAGCACGGAACCTTCCATCACCCTTACAAAGAGAGGTATGGTACCTACCATATTACTCTTGATTCTTTTGTAGATATTTGTTTTCGTAAATAAATTTTAGAGGCGTGTGTATAACAGATTTTAGATTTTTTAAATAGTTTCTAAAAATTAAGTTAAAATGTCATAGCAATTGTGATTATAAGGACTAAATAGTATTACCTATTTGCTGGGCATTAACTCAGCTCTCAGGAACCAACTACATAGTCCCCAAGTAATCAGCGTTAGTCAGGCTGGCAGAGGGCTCTGGAAATGTAATATGAACCTTATAGGTAATTTTAAATTTTCTAGTAACCACATTAAAAAGGTGCAATTATCATAGTATGTCCAAAATATTATCATTTCAATATGTAATCAACGTAAAATATTAATGAGATGTTACATTTATTTTTTCATACTAAGCTTTCAAAATCCCAAGTGGATTTTAAACTTTCAGCACATCTCAGTTTGGGCTAGCCACATTTCAAGTGCTCACTCACCACATGTTGCTGGTCGGACAGCCCAGCTCCAGAGAAAGTAGGACGTTTCCTAACTTGGGGAACCAATGACTCAAGAATGATCTAGGTCAACACCCTACAGACTTTATGCTGTGTTCTTTCTAGAGGAATTTTGGAGATCTGTGTCTCCCCTTGTACCTTTTTAGAATGACATCTGAATTTTTTCATCATACATTTAAATCATTGTGTAGAATGTAATTTCTAGTATGTTGTAAATATTGACGTTTTAAAGTAAAACATTACTGTTACTTCACTCCTTTAAATATGTCCAATGTAATCTAAATACTGTTAAGATTTGATACTCATCAGCTATTTAAAAAATACAGAGAGAATTATTACATCATTCCTTTTTCTCTCTGAATTCATATTTCCATGTTTCTATTCCATTTTCCCTGCAAAATTTCATTCTAATGTAGAATAATTTTATGCTTGGCAATCTTTAATTGATAATTTTTTTTTTTTTTTGAGAAAGATTAGCCCTGAGCTAACATCTGTTGCCAATCCTCCTCCTTTTGCTGAGGAAGACTGGCCCTGAGCTAACGTCTGTTCCTATCTTCCTCTATTTTATATGTGGGACACCTGCCACACTGTGGCTTGATAAGTGGTACATAGGTCTGTGCCTGGGATCCGAACCAGCAAACCCTGGGCCATTGAAGTGGAGCATGTGAACTTAACCCCTACGCCACCGGGCCAGCCCTGAATTGATAATTCTTTAAGTGCCTTCAATTATGGTTTTATGAACTGTAAAATTGTTGTGACAGCAGAAGTTTCTGTGACAACACAAATATGTCTTCTGGATTCAATTATAATTACATTTTTATAACATGTGGTATCAAACAACATAAATATATTACAAAATTTGAGAGTAATTATTAAATGAATATTTTTTGAAAAGAAATTATTTAATGTACCTGTGGATATATGCTGTTTATTAAAAGAATGGGATCAGGGGCCAGCCTGGTGGCATGGTGGTTGGGATTGCGTGCTCTGCTTTGGCAGCCTGTGGTTGCAGGCTTGGATCCCGGGCGCAGACCTGCACACCACTCATCTGGCCGTGCTGTGGCACATCCCACACAAAATGGAGGAAGATGGGCACAGATGTTAGCTCAGCGACACTCTTCCTCACCTCCGCCCCTCCAAAAAAGGGATCATTCTCTACATCAATTCTATTCCTGTTGAAAATTTTATAGATGAAAGTGCTAAGAGTAGTTTTCACATAGATAAGTAAATGGAAGTGAGGATTTTATAATAGCAATGTCACTTTGAATGCCTTCTGAGTGATCTCCTCACCCTCCCAAAAAACACATTATGATCTGTCATAAATAGTATTTTTAATGATATATCAGCTGATAATTCAATTAGATACTTCTTAAATTTGTTTCAAAGCAAAGAACTGGAAAGCACCTGATTCACAAAATAGTTTAATTCCAAGGTCATTTCACTCTTTCAACAGAGTCAATAATATTTTGAATTGTTCCTTTGTTTGGCATTCTGGAAACTTTTATATGGGTCAATTAACCATATGAAAATTCAAAGTTGGTGAGAAACTTTTATAAAGTGGAAGAAAGATTCTGGAAAATTTTGATTTTTTTGAGTATTTGCTTTTAAAATGTTTTTCAATTTGAAAAAAAATAGATGTCATTTCGGTCACTTTTTCTTTTGGAAATAACTTATTGGGCCAGATAGCTTCTATTGAATGTAATTCAGTGACCCCATCCATTTGGTCTAAAGGGGATATCTCATGAGGTTGGGAGTGTGACTGAAAAATAATTGGTCACCCTTCCCTTATGTGTAACTTACCAGCGGTTGCAGTATAAAATCTGTGTGAAGATGTAGAGAGCATTCTCCATGTGTAATAGCATGCTCAGTCAACATTGTCCTCACCTTTGGTTTAATCCTTTCTCTATTAGCTCAGTGGACCCACAGATCACAGCTACTTTGACAAGTATCCTCCTGAGAAGGGAGTGCCTCCAGATGAGCTGTCAGGCTGGGATAAAGACTTCTGACAGAAAAAAAGATGATTACTGCCTGTCTACTACCGAAGAGGACTATGAGCACCGATAATCCAACACTGATAATTTCTCTCTTTGGAGTACTATAATATGTTTTGAAAGACCTTTAGGGAAAAGAAATCGCTGCCCATGGGCTGAGGTGGACGATAGTGGGTATGGAGGTGGTTCTAAATTATAATATCTCATTTAGTGCTGTGAATTATTCATATGTTCCATTCTTCGCTTTTCTCAAATGTTGAAGGCTGTCCACAGTCAGAACCATCTTTGTTGAAGGGGCATAGTTTTCTCTGCAATCTATTGCTCCACCCCAGGCAGACTCATCTCCTTTGAGTCCTAATAAGGCTTACAAACTGTCTTGCCCTTGAGCAACTAACTAAGTCGTGCAAATAGAAGGAAGAGAAAGGTGAATTTTGCAAGGGAAGATTTCCCTGCTCTCAACAACTCTGTGAAGTCATTATGGCGTCTTAAAGTGGTGGTTTGCAGAAATCTCGTAGTCAGTAGAGCTCTTGATTTTACCTGCATTCAACCTAGAAACACATTACTATGCTTCTGATACTAGTCTGGCGAAAGGCAAGTTTGAGTATTTAGTCAGTATTGACCACTCCCTAAAATAAACGAATTAATTAATCCAACCAAGTAATTATATTCTATTGGGGAACTTAGAAAAAATAAACCAATCAAAAATTCTTTTTCATTCTCCTGTGACCAGCTGTGATCCCTCAGAGACTCTTCCAAAGGCTTCTTAGAGGTGGTTATACTGTGTGGTAAGCGATGGGCCTTGGGAAGGTTTTATCTTATATACTAAATGTTTTCACAATCAAAGTAGAAAACACACAGCAACAAAATTGTGAAGGCTTTTCCTTCCCATGAAATATGGAAGAGGAAATTCTAATAGGTGAGGTTGCTGACTTTCAGACTCTCAGATATTTTGGCCAATTCTGTGATTGTTGCTATTAAAAGACCAAGAGTATGGAAGAACCACAATTACTTTTTAATGAAGATCCCATTGGCAAATGTTGGTACACTCTAATCACTGCTGTGTTAATAACTCTTTTAAAATACATTTGAGTCATGGATGTGTTTATGATTTTAGATGGTTAAGGCAGGCAAGCCGCTGGAGAAGTGATGGGACTTTAGAAGTACAAGTCACCTGGCATCTGCCCTCCTCCTGTCTCCTCCTTGCAGTCTTCCAAATACTGAAGAGAATAGTAGTTTCGATAACATTGGACACCAGTACCTACGAGCTTTACTAGTGAATGTTTTTATGTGTCCACCACCGTCACTCCCTTATCTTCCTTCCAGAACGGATGGGAAACAGGCTTTCTCTGTAACTTCTTGATCTGGCAGAGTAAAAATAACATCTAAGTTATTGCATTATTCAAGGTTCTGGTTCTATTTTCATTTGCTCATCTTCTATGGGAAAAGCAGCCTCTATCCATACCCCACCCGTATATTCAATGTTCAGAGAAAGTCAGCTATATGCTTCCCAAAGAGTTAGACCAGATAAGTAAGGCCCAACCCAAGAAGGTGCGTCCTTAACAAACTGAATTCCCACATTTAGAATCCTTTTGCTGAACCAAAGAATTTTTGTTTCCTGGAGTAGTATTTTTAAAGATTATGTACTGTACATAGAAGAACCATTTTTAATAGGATTGACATAACCTGCTTAATGAATTTCTAAGATTTTTAAAAGATTTTTATTTGCATTTGGTTTGTAAGCACTGTATGTTTTTCCATGTATATATTTTTAAATTACCCACTTATAAATGTAGGAAATTTATGTATTGGGTGGATATTAGAACTGTACAGTTATAATAGTAATGATATTCTCAAAGGAGATTAATAGTTGTAATTCAAAAAAGGCCAACATATTTACAAATAAAAACCAACTTAGGTTACTACAGGTTTATTTTGCCTACGATTGGCCATATCAATGTGTAATTGCCACATGTGATTTTATTGTGTTTCTTTAGAATACTTTATAAAGATGAAGAAATGAGAGACTGAACTATAATATGATCCCAATTCTACTATTTTGTATTTGGGTGACCTTGGGAAAAATAACTTTACTTCTTTGAGTACCAGCTTTCTCATTTGTAGAAAAAGGCACAGTAAAGTAATACTACTTTAGATGCCTGTTTTGGGGATTAAATAAGATATCTAGAGAGTCCTTTACTGATATCTGTGAAATAATCAATGCTGCATAGGTGAGAGCTACTGTTAACTGTCTCAGTTAGAATTAAAGGGGCCTTAATAACCATCTAGTTCTGAATCTTATGTATCATTGGTATCTGTATGCACAGTTGTACCAATTAAATCCAGTATCTATCTTTTCCTTTTCTTTTAAACCATGAAGTAAAGATGGTTGATCAAACTTTAGTGCATAAGATGAAGAGTTAACCCTCACCAAAATGAAGTGCTTTATTAAGAGCTCACTTAAATTTCTAAATTTTAATTTTTTTATGAATTAAGGAGATATATATGTGTATATTTTTTTCCTTAGGAAATTATCCCTCTATATACAAACCCATCATATTTCTAATCATTAAATAATTCTTAAGCTCTCTTTCCTAGGTGCAAAGCTAGTTTTTCATTCTTGAGTCTCTTCTCTGTGGGGTCAACTTTTCATAATTATAGTTTCTTAATCATTTTTTCTCTAAATTTAAAATATATGGAGGGAGGAGAATGTAGTGGTGAAAAGGGAGGGATTTGGAATAAAAAAGATCTGGGTTTGAATTCTAGCTCTGCCCAGATTTGTGTGACCTTGAACAACAAACCACATCTTTATTCATTGGTAACTTGAGTTGCACATGTAAAGCTTTGAAACGTTGGGCCAGAATATTATTACTTGTAGGTCATTGATTATAAACATTTGGAAATAAATATATGCTTATATTTCTTTGGGCATAATAACAAATCCTTGTTCTTTATTGGCAGGCATTGTACTAGAAGTATTTATACCATTATCTCATTTGCATAAAATTCTAAAATAATTATAAACACACTGACTGTTGACTGCTCTCAAAGCTAAATGTTGGCCTCAAATATGCATTTTATTCACAATTTTGCTGTGATGGTTTTACTTGGCTTAGTCCCAGTTACTATGATCAAATAACAAATTATCCACAACTTAGTCACTTAAGACAACCATTTTATTGTTCTAGATTCTGTGGGTCAGAAATTCAGACAGCACATGGCAAGGATGGCTTGTCCCTGTGCCCCAGTATCTGGGGCATCAAGTGGAAGGACTCAAAGACTGGGATGATTCAATAGCTGGTAGCTAGAATCACATGATGGTCTTGTTCAGCTTCATATCTGGAGCCCAGGCTGGAGCTGCTCAAAGACTAGGACTGCTGACCAGGGTGCCTACCCATGTTTCCTCCATGGCTTGGATTCCTCATATCATGGTGTCCTTAAACCAATCACACTCCTTGCATGGTAGCTTAGGACTCCAAGAGCAAGTATTCCAGCCAACAAAGGAGAAGCTGCACGATTCTTTATAAGCCAGCTTTAGAGTCACATAACATCACTTCTGCCGTACTCTATCGGTGGAAACACTTTACAAGCCCATCCAGATTTGAGTGGAGGGAGCAGAGACTCCACTTCTTCGTGAAGTTTCAAAAAATTTGCAAGCAAGTTTTAAGACTGCCACAACCCACGATCTGGCTACAGATGACTTATATTACTGCCGTATGCAAAATAAATTCATTCCCTCTGAAGAGCCTCCCTAAAAATATCATGTCATTACAGCATCAGGCTCAGACTCAAGGTTAGGAACGTGTCATCTAAATCCATTCTGGGGTGGATGAGGCTCCTCAGGTATAGTTCCTTGGATACATTCTTTTAGGTCAGAAGGCCTGTGAACTAAGTAAACAAATATCTGTCCCCACACTCACAACACTAAATCCTGAGATGATCAAAGGATAACCACAATAGATCCCTGCATTCAGAGAAGGAGAAGATGGGAGGCACAAAGCAATCACTGGCCCCTAGAATTCTGAAATTTGGTCCGACGCATGTTACCATTTCTCTGCTTAGGGATAAGTCCTACTCCCTGTGAGTTGTTCTCTGTAGCTCTCGGCTCCACCTTGTAGAATCTTGGTTCTGCCTTCTGAGTCCTCCTTCCTTTTCTATAAGATATGGCTGGTATTTGCAGCTGACTTCTTAGCCTGTTCCCTGCCCATAAATGTTTGGTGGTAGAGATGCCTCTTTTCAATTTGTCTGTCTCTTTATGCCAAGCTGATACATTTCCTTTAAAAACTTCATGAGTTTCCTGTGTGTGAATTTATGATCCACTCCATTTAACAAAGCTACACTCACAAATCTTTCCTGTAGAGATGCGGTGTGAAAAGCAACTCTTAGAAGTTCTGTGTTTTAGAACAGTGTACACAGCACATGCTTAAGATGCTCAGAAGGCCTTTTGTCTGTCTGAAAGATTGTGGTAGACAGCTTAGCAGATGGCTTCCAATGATCCCTACTTATGGTATTCATGCCATTTTCTAATCCCCTCTCCTTGGGTGTTGACTGAACATAGTGACTTCCTTCTAACAAATAGAATATAATAAAAAGTGATGGGATGTCACTTCTGAGATTAGGTTACAAAGTGACTCTGCTTCTGTTCTGCTCACCCTCTTGCTCTCTCATTTGCTTACTCTGATGGAAGCCAGCTGCCATGGTGTGACTTCTCTATGGATAGGTCCATGTGGCAAATAGCTGAGGGAGCCTCTGGCCAACAGCCAATGAGGAAATGAGACTCTCAGTCCCACAACTTGTGATGAACTGAATCCTGCCAACAACCACAGGAGTGTGCTCGGAAGCACACCCTCCACCCGTAGAGCCTTCAGATGAGACTATAGCCCCAGCCAGCACCTCGACTGCTGCCTAGTGAGAGTCCAGGAGTCAGAGGTGTCAGGTGAACAACTGCCCAGTTCCTGACCCACAGAAACTGTGAGATAAGAAATGTTTGTTGCTCTAAACCACCAAGTTGGGAAGGAAAGATGGACATGAAGTGGGAGAAGCAAGAACAAAGTGGACACAAGTAGACAAACTGGAATTCTTGAGGAAAAAACTGGAATTTGTGATGACAAACCAGACCTAGGAGGACAAAGTGGAACCTGGGTCTGCCTTTCTTGGTTGCCAACCTTGGTCAGATGGGTGGCCTGCAGGATAACCTGGCACCTTTCACATATCCCTGGCTTGGGGTTTGCAGATGCTGAAGGAGCAGTCTTGCTGGAGCTGGAGGAACCATAGACCTGGGTGCCACCCTTTGCCGAAAGGTGAGCTAGCAGATCGGCAACAGTGTGCATGAACCGCAGTAGTACTTGCTCTTCCACTGATCTTCAGAGTGTAAATATGGCTGCTACTCTCTTCTGCATTTCAGATCTTATGCAAATTTCTCTTGTAGCAAAGCCTAACTCAGAACCATACAGAGAAGGGAATTCTGGGAAACATATTTCTAGCTTAGCTAGTTGTCGGAGTACAAAGTCACTCAATTTCAAACCTAGTAAAATATGTAATATATGGTTATTAGGTAATTTATTTAGTTTTGAATTTTTAAGTAATGAAATTTTCTTCCTCTCTTTCTGCTCAACATTTATCAAAGTGTACAGAGGACATGGGCCACATGACTCAGATGAAACCAGCGATAACAATTTGTCTCAGGTGATTTACAGGTGAGCTCTAAATCGAACTAGAGCTGGAACATTTTCAGTTTTGGAAAATATAAACCCAAGATATTTTTGTTTAATTGTTGGTTACTAAATTAGAAGTGATATAATGAAAAGTAATATGAAATGTGTTGTAAGTATAAACTTCCTCAGTGAGGAAAAAACAGACATGTGCTGAGAAAAAAAAAAAAAAAGAAAATATGGTGTGCTAAAGGAAGATCACCAGCAGTGCATCAGTCCTGGAAACCACGCAGAGCGAATGGGGCTTACTCTGGAGGGAGTGGGGAGAGTGCCAGGGGTCGCACTCCAACACAAGCTGAAAACAAGTCAACTATCCAATCCTGCCATTTACGATTCAGGAAGGTGCTAGATGGCTCCGTGGATCATAAAAGGCAGGACCTGGAAAGTTGCTCTCTTCTGTATTCTGCTGGGTCAGCCCCTTTTAGCATCTGTGTTCAGTTTTGTATTTAGGAAGGATAGTCAAAAAATTAAAGTATGCCTAGAAATACTTAAAAATTCCATCCATGAGTCAAGGCCAAAAAAAAGTAAAGTATAGAAAGTCTGATAAAAACTTTAAAATATATGTTTTTCTTTTTGAGGGTCCATGAGGATCAAAGGGAGTAAGGGGTATCCTCTTATTCTAATGGATAGTGAATGTGAAGAGTAATATTTAATACATGTCTTAATTGATTCATTCAACAATTATTCATGGAGCACTGTTCCAGGCACTGTTGTAGGTGCTGAGGACACAGCAGAGGGACAGAAGTCAGTCCTATGTGTACTAGTAATTATTAGACAACTAGGCTAGCACTGATGACCTCCAGGTGGTGTGTGATTATGGATACTTTCCTTCTTTGTCTATTTTCTATGTTTTATACACTGAACTTATGTAATAAAGAACAAAACTTACTTTAAAAGATAAATCTGAATCAGAGAGATAGACTAGATACCAGAATGATCATTTAAAAAAAGGACTCTTGGGGCTGGCCTGGTGGTGTAGTGGTTAAGTTTGTGCACTCTGCTTTGATGGCCCGGGCTTTGCAGGCCTGGATCTGGGCTCCGACCTAGCACCGCTTGTCAAGCCACACTGTGGCAGCATCCCACATGAAACAGAGGAAGGTTGGCAACAGATGTTAGCTCAGGGCCAGTCTTCCTCAGACGCAAAAAAAAGGACTGTTGAACATCAACGACAAATTTCCCCGTCATCGGGTTATAGGCAGCAGGCTGACATGACCTCTCAGGCCTCTCCAGCATTAGGTGCCTATTTACTGAAACCTTTGAGTCAAACTCTTACAGCCTCTCTTTGTTCTTTGCCTCTCCATTCTGACACATTTCCACAGGATGCAGATTAAGCCTTCCACTTGATAGCAGCGGGTAATTTACTTCTTTAGGTGTTTTTAGCTGTTTCTGAAGAATACTTAGTTCTGTTTCTGCCAGACTTCCAATGCCTTGGCTCTCTACCTTCTCCTCCTCCGCAGGCAGAGGATCTTCTGACAACAAATTCTCTCTGCTAAATGCATATGTGTGAATTAATTAATTAGTTAATTAACTGTTTGATTGATTCTCTCAAAAATTTGTGTGCCTACTCTGTGCCAGGCACTGGTGTTCAGCAATGAGCAATGTAGACAAGATCTTGATCGTGAAGCTTATGGTCTAGTTGCAAGACGATGACAGTAAGTAGTTAAACAAATGGGGAACATTACAAAACAACATAAAATTTGGATGTGCATAGAGAAAATATAAATTAAAAAAATGTAGCTGTGGTTTATCTTGTCTCCTTTGAGCTTCCACCTACTTCTTAGTGGGAGGTGGGGAATTAAGTCTCATCCAGTTTAAAGTTAATCTAATTAAATAATTTAAACAGTCTCTCTAGGGCAGTGGTTCTCAAGTTTTGGTGAGTATCAAATTTTGATGAGGAACAATACAAATATTAAGGCCCAGCCCCCATTCCACTTCAAGGAGCTGAGCCTCTGTGGGTATTATTAGCTCCCCAAGTAGTTCTGATAAACCACAAAGTATGAAAGCCATTGTTCTATAAAATGTTCAGTCTCTCAGGCAAAAATGCTCAGGCTCTCATTTAACGTCTCTTCTAATTACATCCCTGATCAAGATGGAGGATGAGTTAAGGCTCCAAGGCCAGATGTCTAGTACTTGATTGCTATTTGTTTGACTGATGTTCTTGGCAGAAGTTTATGGCTGGAGAAGCTCATCATCTGTCCTCTCTGGGCCAAAACAGGGCCCAAGGCCTCCCTTGATGACTTGGGTTCCCCTTGGCTACTCCTGGCACTGCAGACCTTTGGGGTTTGACTGTGGTTCCTTCCAGCTCTAGCTGAGACCTGCTTTGCAGAACTCACTA